GCAAGAGCAGTCAGTGCTCTTAACTGCTGAGCCATCTCTCCAGACCCCAACTTACTTTCTCTTTCTCTCTATTTGGCAGGGGTGATTAAGAACAGCATTGTGCCTCACGGTGCAAAAAAAAAAAAAAAAAGCCAGGCATTGGAAGATTGCTAAGCAGGAGGGAAAGACTTCTGGTGTTTTTTGGGGGGGAGGGAGTTGTCCTGTTTACATGTTGTTTCCTTTGTTTAGGAGGATGAAATTAAGCCAGAGGACTGTATACCAGATGTAACGGGCAATGAACATGCCAGGGAATTTCTGGCTCATGCACCAAGTAAAGGACTTTGGATGCCACTGGGGAAATAAGTCAAAGTTATGCAGTGTGGAAGAGCTTTGAGTGACATTCCCATTACATGCAAGTTATACTAGAATGTACAAAGTTAACTTCCTTAGCCTGTTCTCTGCACATGCCTCTTAAAATCATAGCATTGGGGCTGGAGAGATGGCTCAGTGGTTAAGAGTGCTGGCTGCTCTTGCCGAGGACCTGGATTTGGTTCCCAGAACCCACATGGCAGCTAATAACCATCCTCAACGCCAGCTGCAGGGGATCTTCTGACCTCCGTGGGCACTACACAACACAGGTGCATTTACATACATGCAGGCAATACAGTCATACACATAAAATAATAAATAAGATATAAAAAATCATAGACAATCCCCATTTCTAGAGAAGGAAACAAACTTGCTTACTTTAGGAAGTGTTCTGATGAAAGGATAGAGCACAGATTTGGATCAGAGCTTTTGTCTCTAGTGATCTTTCCTCAGAGCCAGGGCTGCTGTGGGAGTGTGCCCCTCAGTGACACTCCTATAACAAAAGGACATTCTTGCCTTTCTTCATCACCTTGTATCAGAGGTGCCAAGAGGTATTTCATCCATGTAATCAGAAAGGAGCTACCACGGAGTTTTGTTATTAATTGTATTTGTTTCCCATGCACTGTTTTGTGATGAAACCCCAAATTATTCCTAATCTTGAATCCTGAGCCCTTCAATTCTGACACTTGAGATGTTCTAAAAATTTCATCTTTCAGAAGATGGTTGCTCATCCAAGGATCTGTTTCATCATTTGTTATAGACTGAAAACATGTCTTCCCAAAAATTCATGTGTAAAGCCTTAATTCCCAAACAATGTTGTTTGGAGATGGGTCTTGAACAGGTGCAGTTGGAGGAGCCCATGATGTGAAATGGCAGCTTTAAAAGAAGACTCAGCGGGTGTGGTGGTGCATACCTTCAATCCCAGCTCTCTGGAGGCACAGCCAGGGAGCTCTGTGAGATTGAGGCCAGCCTGATCTACCTAGCAAGTTCTAGGCCTGCTGGTGCTACAGGAGACCTTGTCTCAAAAATCAAAACAACAACAAAAAGACTTGGTCTCCTTCCTCGTTCTCCTTCTCCTCTTTCTCTTCTTTCTCCCTCCTCGTTCTCCTCCTCCTTTTTCTCTTCCTCTCTCTACTTGGTCTCCCTCCTTGTTCTCCTCCTCCTCTTTATCTTCCTCCTCTTTCCCTCCTCATTCTCCTCCTCCTCGTTATCCTTCTCCTCCTCTTTCTCTCCCTGTTTCTCGTCCTTTCTCTGCATATGAAGACAAAGTGGGAGGGAAGTCATGTCAAGCTCAGTGATAAGCCTTTACTGCAGACACACTGTTCTAACACCTCATCACAGAAATTCAAATACCAAAATTGAGAAAGTGAGTTGCCATTGTTTATACCACACTGTTGTCCAAGCTACCTTGTATTTGGCATTTTGTTGTGGCATTCCTGGCCGTACCACCATCCTGCAGTCGCAGTTTGCCTCTCTCCTGCGTTGGATTGATTCCCGTTCCTCCTCTTTTTTGGTCTAGTGTAGCCTAGCCTAGCCTCAAGTTCTCTAACTATCCAGAAATGACCTTAAACTTCTGACCCTTCTACCTCCAGCTCCTAGGTGCTGAAATTACATGCATGTGCCTCCGACTCTGTCCCTTCTCCTGGTTGGCTGATTGCTTTGGCTGTTTCCTTCAAAATGAGCTTTAGGTTTGTTTGTTTTTGTTTTGTGTAGGACAGAGTCCTGCATGACAGGGCTGGCCTTGAGCTGAGGTCCTTCTGCCTTAACCTCCAAGTGCTGTGGTTTGCAGGTGTTTGTCACCACATCCAACTTAACAGTTAAAATTGTTGGGCCAGGAGTGGTAGGCATGTGCCCTTAGTCCCAGCACTCAGGAGGCAGATCTCTGTGAGTTCAAGGCCAGCCTGGTCTCTATAATGAGTGAGTTTCAGGCCAGCTGGGGCTATAGGGAGACCCTGTCACGGGGGCGGGGGGAATTGTTGAAAGACTTTAATTTTCTGGAAACATGTTCGTTTTACAGTTTCTTTTTTCTAAAGCCAGGACATGGAATTCTAGGTTGAACATTATTTTCCTTTTCAAAACACTGTTCCATTGCCTTCATATTTCTATAATTGCTGTCAAGAGGAGCATGTGATTCCCATTCTTGATTTTTTTGACATGACTTTTTTTAGGGTTTGTGTGTTTTGTCCAATTTGAGGTGCTGAGAACTGAACGCAGGGCCTCACACACTAGGCACATGGGCTGATTTTCTCTCTCTCTCTTTTTCCCCATGTTTGTTTTTTATCTCTCATGCTTGTTCTTCCAACAGTACAAATGCTCACCTGCAGTTCTGGAAAGGAAAGGAAAAAAGAGACAGCTGTCTTATAAGCCCTCCGAGGGCAGATTCCCAGTGACCTGGGACTCTTCCGTAGGCCTTACCTCTGCAAGTTCCACCGTCTTGCGGCAATACCAGACTGAGGTTCCAACCTTAACTGCTGAACCTTTAGGACAGTCTACCTCCAAAATGCATGAGGAGGTGTGCTTCCTGGTGCTGGAGAGTCTTGGGGCCATCTTGGGCATTGGCGGCCACACCTGTCCTTGCCTGTGAGTGAGAGATAAAGGTTCGCCCAAACCCTCACTGTGAGTCAGGCTTGTGGAGTCTCCCTGTAAAGTGAAGTTTCTGTAGGTAATCAGTAGGGAGGACATCTCTGGTCAGTGTTTGAGGTTTTTCTTTGAGTAGGTTATATTTTCCCAGAGAAAAGACGTCTTTCCTTTGAGGCGTAGAGACACAGTCACTGGTTCTTGTAGCTCGTGGGAGGAACAAGTCTGGATTTCTCCACCTACGTTCTATTTGGTTATATACTCCCCTAGATTATATCTTCCAGAAACCCTGTGCTGTAACCTTTTCCAGACAATTCCAGTCTTCTGCTACAATGTAGGCTGTAGACTTTTAACCCATACCTGATTTTAGCTAGCCCTTCGTCTCTGCTCCCAGAGGTCATCCGGTGCTGCCAACTCCTGAACTTTACAAACAGGAACTGAGTCAGTCCTCAGTCCTCCCATGTTACTGAGATTTCTGTGACTATGGGATTTGAAGAGGCTTATCTTGACTCATGGCCCTGGCAGTTCCATTCAGGATTGGATGGGCCCATCGCTGGGTGCTGACGGCAGTAGACTGTGTGGCAGACTGCTTACATCATGAGCCAGGAGGCATAAAGAGGAAGAGGATGAGCTGGGGCACCACAGCCCCTTTGAGGTACATGCCTCCAGTGACTGAAGGGCTCCCATAAGGCCTCACCTGCTAAGATCCACAGCACCCCCAATAAAAATAAAAGGGAAAACTCATGCCTATGTCCTGTAGTTGCCAGCACAGACCGAATTGCCTGTCTCATCCGATCACGAGATCTTCCCTCTCATCTGTCTTCCTATCTCCTGACCTCCTTGACAAATACCATAACACAAGCTTCCCCTTAGCTCACCATCCCTACACAGCCTCTGGATGTGCTTAGATCTAGATGGATCTGAGAGGATGAAAACAAGAAAGAGTGGCCGTAAGGATCTCATCATTCATCGCTTCCTTTTCCACAGATTGCAGCTCCTAGTGTCACTCTGTAATTGTAATTTCCAAAGATATACATTTGCCTTGCTGACCTGAAATATGCATATATATTTCTTTGGTAGATCTCGTCACTGGGGTCTTCTGCTCTTTTAATAGGATCGTTTCCGTTTTCTGCAGGTGCGGTTTTACTGTGACATTCATATATTAAGAGACTGTGATTTTGTTTGGTAGAAGGTGAGAAATTGATGCAGTATTTGATTTATCCTGATAAAGCAGCTGTTTGTTCTTGGGCCTAAGTTTGTAGATGAGAATTAGAGTCACTTGATGAATAGAAAAGATGTCTTCTAAAGAGTATAGTGAAGCATATAAAAAGAAACTTAGTTCATAAATGCTTGATGATGGAATAGTCCTAGATCTGCGGGATGCACGGGTGCCTGGGGGAGCATCAGTTTGCTGTCTTCTCTGACCTTGTTTACATGGTTTATTCACTGATCGGCTTTGCGTTTAGAGCTGAAGTCTAATGGAGAAAAACTTTAATATTACAGTCTACTGAAACACTGTTTTGATGAGATGAAAAAAACATGTTATCTTATACAAGTTATTTCCCTTTTCATTTTTAGGTTGGCGCTGGAAACAATATGGTCATCACACAGGAGACAAAGAATGCCCTTTCTTTATCAAAGGCAACCAGAAGTTAGAGCATTTGAGAGTAGTAAGCAAACCCTCAAGCTGTCAATGCAGTTGTCAGAGGTGCTGAGAAAAAGCTAGTCACCAATGTTCAGTGAGCTCAGTGCTCATCTAAATACTTCTCCAGAAGCTTTTGGCCAGTGTCTCATCTTAACCTTACCTGTTTAATTGCATTCGTGTAACAAATTAGTTCATGTGTCCCACCCCCAAACTCCCACCCCCATCTCTCCCCGCTCCACCATCCCATACAAGGCCTTGCACATGTTGGGTAAGTGTTCTAACACTGAACTACACTCCTAGTCGTTAGTTTTTAAACAGAAGACGGCTGCTAAAAATGCAGAAAAGCTAGGAGGCATAACTTTGTGGTACAGCATTTGCTAAACAGCACCAGCGCCTGGGTTCAGTCCCTAACATTACCAAAAAGAAAGCAAAAACAACGACGACGACAACGACAACAAATACACCACCAAAGGTGGTTTGCTAGTCAGGCACAGTGGTGCACAGAGGATGCGGTGGGAGGTTGTGAGACCAGCCTGAACAACATAGCAAGACCCTGAGTCTTTAAGCAAAATCCTTTGCTTAGACCTTTGGAACAGTGTTGATCTTCCCTCTGTGTTTTTACTTACATGTCATGTTTTGTAACTAAAACCAGGGTTTTTGTTTCTTAGTTTTTATCTAATGCTTAGAGTCTTAACTTTTAAAAATATTTTATTTATTTTTATTTTATGTGTATGAGTGCATTGCCTGCAAGTAAGTAAGTGCACCCATGTCCTGCAATGCCCACAAGGACAGAAGAGGCCATCAGATCCCATGGGCATGCAGTTACAGACAGTTGTTAGCTGCCATGTGGGTGCTGGGATTCGAACCCAGGTCTTCTGCAAGAACAACCAATGTTCTTAAGTGCTGAGCCAGCTCCAACTCTAGGCGTTTTAATTTTTAAAATATGCTGTATTATTTGTTTTAGGTGTGCGTTTTGCATGTTGTACAGTGACCATGGAGGCCAGAAGAGGGCATCGGATCCCCTGAAACTGGAGTTATGGATGGTTGTTAGCCACCTAGTGGGTGTTGGGAACTGAACCCAGGTCCTCTGCAAAACAGGAAGTACTCTTAACCACTGAGCCATCTCTCCAGCCCCAGATGTCTTTAATATTTTAAGTTAGAAGTATGTATGTTCCCTCTCTGTACAATAGTAACACAGAGCCCTCATTTTAACAGAATGCCTCCTACAGGCAACAATTCACTGTTCAGTTACTGTTCTACCAAGGGAGTGTGCTGCTGTGGGAATGGCCCTCAGCACACACCAAATCTGTCAAGAAGAATTCTCCAAATTAATATTTTTCAATTTGAAAACTTTATTTATTTAGAGATAAGTTCTCACTGTGTAACCTTGGCCGGCCTGAAACTCAGAGAGATCTGCCTGTCTCTGCCTCCTGAGTGCTGGGATTAAAGGCGGGCACCACCACGCCCAGCTCCAGTAAGCTTTATTTTATAGTAGGACTATGCCACTGTTTGTTTAGTTATTTCCTCAGGAAATATACTACTTTGTGTTTTTCTAATTCAGAAATTCTTTTTGTAGCCTTAATGAGTTTAGTCATGTAACTTTAAAAAGCATTTGAATATGTTAAATATAAGGCTGTATCAAACAGTTTCTTTCTTAAACTTATTTCAGTAACATAAGGATTTAATTCATGTTTAGCAGTCTGTGAAGCCTAACCACATCTTAACCTTCTCTGACCATTAAGGGACATGAAGAGTCCCATGAATGACATTGTTCGAGAGACTAAAATATACAAAAAGGATGTGAGGTGAGGTTGCCCCAACAATGCCAACATCCTGACTTCTTAAAAAAATAATCCCTTTAAAAAATTTTTTCTTTCTTTTTTTCTTTTTTAGATTTTTAAAAATTTAATAACCACATGATTAAAAGAAGCATTTCATTACAGCTTAACATATTCAATAAGAATTTCCAGAGCAAGGACACATCTCTTTCAGATTAGCTGTAAATTTTGAGGTTCACAGTTAAATTAATACAGTTATACAATATTGAACTCAGCATAACCCTTATAAGACCACTTGAAGGCATCTCTAATCTCTATGTATCTGATTATTACAGTCTAATTACAGACTAATCACAGTCAGTTACACTCGGATCCTTGGCATCTGAGTATGGATATAAAGTCATCAGGTAGATTTTAATGGTAATGTTTATCACCTCTATTAATTAACATGAAGTAAATTTTTATGCTTCCTCCTCAAATATGTCATTTTTTTAATTTGTTGATTTTTGAGTGTGTATATCATACAGAACATCCCAAACAATCTTATGCATCTATATACCCACTTCGCAAATGGCACCCTCCCATAGCCTCCCCCCCCACCACTGGAGCCCATATACTCTGTCATCCCTGTTACTGTCCACTGTGTTGTCTGTGCCCCCAGCCATTCCCCAATGCTTGTCCATCTGCTGAATCTAGTCAGCCTATCTAGAGAGCCTTGTAGGCAGATCAGCTGTTCCTCATCTAGCAGCAATCAGTTGTCAATATTCCTTTAGATAAGATTGGGGTCTGCTGCTCATTTTCCCAGTTCTATGCTGGGTGACTGTCTGGGAGTCTTTTGGACCACCTTGGCCAATAACTGGAAGGTATCTCCTGTCTGGCACTGTTTCTTGTTATGTAGCCCTTAGCTATACATATGGACTCTTAAAAAATTATATTGACCTCTTTAATCTTTGGTTATACTTTCCTTTTGGATGTTTAAGACCCCACAATTGGCCCAGATAAAACAATTTATTTTTACTCTTAAGGTTGTTTGAGGATCTGTTCCCCAGGGATCACATGGGTTTGGGAGGAGCCCCTGGCTCCTTTCTTTTATCACTTCTACCTATGTGAAGATAAGTCAAAGGTCCTGCTCAACAACGGTTGGCTTTGCTTGGAAACGTGGAGGAAATGATTCCTCTGTGTTGACCCTCCTCATTATAGACTGGACACTGGTTCAAGTCCATCTGGTGGGGTCTCCTCGGCCTCCTTGATCAAGGATCAGTCAAAGGTCCTGCTTGACTGTGGCTGGCTTCACTTGGGAGCATGGAGGAAATGTTTCCTCTGTGTTTACCCTCCTCTTTGTAGTCTGAACACTGGTTCAAGTCCCTCTGGTGGGGTCCCTCTGCCCTGATTAGTATAGGCCTCAAAGTATGGCTGTTAAACATCTAAGAATGTTAGTTCCACCAGTCTGGTACTTTTAATTACCATGTGCCATGTAGATAAAGCTTGGTCAAAGACCAAACATTCTCAGATAAACCTTGCCTAGACATATATTATATTCTTTGATCTAGTTGTATGTGTAATTTGTCAGTAGGTTGTTAGCCTAATATGGTTCCCTCTGGTTTTTTACAAAGTAGCTAGGCAGTATTTATCTCTCACATTGTCTGACCCTTCTACCATGGTTTCCCCATTTAACATGCTCCCATTTTCCCCGTTTCTCCCTTAATAATACCCTTCTCCTGTGGTCCCACCTCTCCAGAGCTCCTCCTTTCCCTTTATCCCTTTATTAAAAAATTTATTCATGCTTATGCATGTATGTCTGTTTGGGGGTGTATGCATATGTACATAGGGTACCTGTGACTGGAAGAGGATGTTGGATCCCTTGGAGCTGGAGTTACAGGCAGTTGTGAGCCACCTGACAAGGTGCTGAAAACCAAACTCAGGTCCTCTGGAAGAGCATCAGGTCCCGTCAACTGCTCAGTCGTGTCTGTGGCCCCTGCCTGTGCATCTTTTAAAAAATGTTTTATTTATTATTTTTATTGTATATGTATGTGTGTATTGCCTACATGTATGTAAATGCACCTGTGTCATACAGTGCCCATAGAGGTCAGAAGAGGGCATCGGATCCCCTGGAACTGGAGTTATGAATGGTTGTTAGTTGCCATGTGGGTGCTGGGATTTGAACCTGGGTTCCTCTGCAAGAGCAGCTGTCACGCCATCTCCAATGGAGCCCATGTGAGATCCTCCGTGGGTTGAGGCTGGAACTTCAAGGAAGGTTGCCTCTTGGAATTGGTTGTGCTGAGAAACATGCAGTGTACTTGGCATGCTTTACTTGCTATTATTTTTCTAACTGTCACTGTATCTTGGGCTTTCTGGGGGCCCGGAAAACACCTGGTGTCCTTGGCACCGCTATCACCACCTTTATTAAGATGAAATAGTTATGTTTATAAGTCCCATACTTGGAAGGATTTCATGAGACCTGCAGGTTTAGAATGGGATACTGACGTAACGGGGTTTGGGACATATTACACTAGTCACTAGTTAATGTTTGACAATGTATTGTTCACCTGTGTTTCACTTTTGTCTCCGGAATCAGAACTCTTAAGAAAAATGATTAAACTGCAAAACAATGGCTTATTGATGTAATCATGTAACTTTGTATTTTATAATCTGAGCTCTGCAACTGCAAAATTACACTCAGACTTGCACCAACTCTGTTGTGTTTGTCTGTTTGTCACTAGTTAATGTTTGACAATGTATTGTTCACCTGTGTTTCACTTTTGTCTCCGGAATCAGAACTCTTAAGAAAAATGATTAAACTGCAAAACAATGGCTTATTGATGTAATCATGTAACTTTGTATTTTATAATCTGAGCTCTGCAACTGCAAAATTACACTCAGACTTGCACCAACTCTGTTGTGTTTGTCTGTTTGTCACTCGCCGAATCCTTGTCCACCCTTTGGGGACCCTGCTCCCGTCGGACTGAACGGCTCCGGTCTGGGCTGGTCTGTCGCAAGCAGCTGGTGCTCCTAACCTCCGACTCATCTCTCCAGCTCCCTGCCTGTACATCTTTTGAGAAGTTGTTTTAAGTTAAAAGTCACTACTCTGATAGATCTTCATGTTTAGGAGACAACAGTTAAACAGTTATTGTAGGATTCTGTCTCAGATGAGGATGGAAGCAGCCCCAGTTCCTCAGAATATAAAGAGAAACACAAGAGAAAGAAGAAGAAAGAAAAGCACAAGAAAAGGAAAAGAAGAAGAAATGGAGCACCAGTTTTCCAAATCAAGTGAGAGTTCGGATTCTTAGTGACAGACTTGACAGCCAGCACTGTCCGCTCAGAGCCACACACCATCACCAAAGAACAGAGGAGGTGCCCTGTGAGTGAAGGACAGAGACGGGGTGCCCTGTGAGTGACAGGAAGGACGTTTAAGAGAGAGCAGCTGATTTCACACCTGCGTGTTCTCATCGTCCAGTGAGAGCCGATCTGCTTCTTCCCAGGTGCTGAGTGGGAAATCCAGGTGCTGAGTGAGCAGTCCTCCAAGGTGCTAAATGAGGAATCCTCCCAGGTGCTGAGTGAGCAGTCCTCCTCTCAGGTGCTGGCTGGGGTGGGATGGCAGCTGATTCAGGCTGGAGAGCAGCTCAGTGTCTTCTGCCCTGTCCTTCACTGTGATTACTCTGAAGGGCCCTTTTCAGGGTGACAAGATGAAGGGAAGTTGGGGAGGTGCTTCTGGGTGCTACTCAGTTTCATTCTCATAGGTAAGTGGCTCAGTTCATAGACTTTAGGCTTCATCCTTCTCTCTTGAAGATAATAAAAGTGTGATTTATTTCTGAAATATAGTTATCTATTAATAATACTGATATACAGTCCAAATTTAAAAGGTATAAACTTTGAAACAGGAACTCACCATGTAGCCCGGGCTGGTCTTGAAATTGTGATTATAATACCTTAGCTTCCCAAGTGCCAGGATTTCAGGTATACATAACTGTACCCAGCTTAAGCATAATGTTTTATTATAGAAATGATTTTGATGTACCTCAGCCCTTTCTACAATAACCACCAGTCTTACCAGTTTGTAATGAAGTCTTTGAAAAATATCTCATGTATCATGAACATAAAAGTTGTGGGGTTTTTTTTAAGCTTTTACAATTTCATTAGAGTTTTAAAGAAAAAGAAATCCTCAGGGCAGGCGAGCTGGTAATCTTGGCAGCTGCCTTGAGGACGTGAATGGTGGGAAGAAAGAAATAAAGTCGTGAGGCCATGCAGGTTTAGAGCCTGCCTGGGAGGTCAGACACATGGCTAACTGGCAGCCACATGGCTGGGAGAAGGAAGCTTTAGAGAAAAAGTAAAGAAATAAAAGATGCTAGGGGCAACCCAAAGCCTTAAAGAAAGCATGTTTAGTAAGAAAGGCATGAAGAAGAAAAAGGGAAATTATGTTTCCCTGAAGAATTCAGGGACATGGGCAACTCACAGACAACATGGCTGTAGCTAGGAAGTTCTGTGCCCATAGGCAGGATTTCATGCAGGAAAAACTCTGTTTCATTAATACACTAGGTATTCTGCTGATCTGTTTAGCCTGACCTGCCTTCCTAGGGGCAGTCCTATGACCAGATGATTGACCAGTTAAACTTACACAAAAGTTAAACTGAAAAAGTTGCAGAGCTAGGGGCTTGGAGCAATACATTCCCTATTGGCTCTGGGACATACATCAAATCTTTGACTTATTTTGATTTTGAGGCTCATATTGGGTCCTTAGAACCATAATTTTGATGGCATTTGGACACCTCTTGATCTATCCAGTTAGACAGTTTAGGAGGCATGGGCTCGCCATAAAGGCTAGGAAGAATATTACTAGAGGCCCAGGAAAATTCAATTACACTTGAGTTATTGGCGTAAAAGAGCAAACGTCACCTAAGACCATGTATGAGCAATCTTTTTTTAGGAACAGTAGATCCAGCCCCCTTCTGTTCTGTAGCACCATTTTAGCTAGAGAGTTAACCTGTCTCTCCAACTGCCTGAAGGAGTCCTGTAGATGTCTGATGTCACTGTCTATATGAGAGCTTAGAAGCCTAAAATATTTATTACCCATGGCTTGCGGAGCCTGCAATGCCTGTTTTCCCAAGGATGGTGGTGAGACTTCTCTTGGCATAAAGGTTTTTGACATTCTGTAACATTTGCCTGCATGTTCTCAGTTTCTAAACA